CCCCCTTTATGTATATATGTACAGTTAGGACTTAAAAATATTTGTCAAAAGTTTGAAATTTTGAGTTGTTGAACGTTTAAACTGTCTACAATGCAAAATACAACTTTTTTTTGTCATCTCTGCAGAGCCCCCAACCATCACTATTGACCCAGAAATGAAAGATGGTATAGCCGTCAGAGCAGGAGACACAATTGTAATCTCAGCTTCTAAAATTGTGGGCAAACCTCCACCTACTTCAGCGTGGTCCAAGGGAGGACGTGAGTTGAAGACTTCTGACATTGTCACCATCACCAGTACCCCAACCTCCTCTATTCTGGCTATTAAGTACGCAAGTCGGAAGAACACAGGGGAGTACACTGTCACTGCCAGCAACCCCTTTGGCATTAAGGAAGAACATGTTAAGGTGAAGGTCTTAGATATTCCTGGACCTCCAGGCCCAATTGAAGCCAGTAACATTTCAGCCGAAAAGTGTACCCTGACCTGGCTTCCACCAGAGGAGGATGGAGGCTCTTCTATCAAATCCTACATCCTTGAGAAGAGAGAAACCAGCCGACTACAGTGGACCAAGCTAGCTGAAAATGTCGTGGATTGCAGACACGTAGTCAGCAAACTGATTAAAGGCAATGAATACGTTTTCAGAGTGTCTGCTGTGAACCAGTATGGCACAGGAGATTCAAGCCAGTCTGGTCCAGTCAAAATGGTTGATAGTTTCTGTAAGTTTATATTTTTTATGTGGTTTATATCTGTGTATTAATAATTAAACAATAAAAGCAATTTAGCTATAGGATCTTGCAGATCCTTTAAAATAAAAATATAGCTAATAGACATGTCCTTCCTGTTTCTGTTTCCCCAGCACCACCAGGTCCGCCCTCAACCCCAGAGATTGATAATGTTAGTAGGAATGCTATCACCATTTCATGGAAGAGACCAGTACAAGATGGGGGAAGTGACATTAGGGGATACTGTGTTGAGAGGAAAGAGAGAAAAGGACTGAGATGGGTCAGAGCCAGTAAGCGGACTATCCCTGACCTGCGGTTTAAGGTGCAAGGCCTGAGTGAGGGAGTAGAGTACGAGTTTAGAGTCACTGCTGAGAACAAGGCTGGATTTGGGGAGCCAAGTGAACCATCGCGCCCTGTCATGACAAAAGATATTGTGTGTAAGTAAAACTCACAGGAATGTTCTCACGGCAATGTGAATTGTATTTTAAAACTGTAAAACTGCAATGCAGGAGAGTTAGAAAACACAAATCAAGCTTTGTCAAATACATAATTACCTATATTAACTTTGTTACCATATTTTGTTTTTGTGTTTATTAGATCCACCCGGTCCCCCATCCAACCCTAGAATTACAGAAACCACCAAAACCTCAGCCACATTCGCCTGGGGCCGACCCCACTATGATGGTGGTCTTGAAGTAGAGGGCTACATTGTTGAATATAAAAAGGAAGGACATGATGATTGGGAGACAGAGACACAGTACCCACTGAAAGCTTCAGAATACGTGATTGGTAAACTACAAAAAGGAGGCAAATACCACTTCAGGGTTAGTGCTGTAAACTCTGAGGGAATAGGCGAGCCTGCGGAGGTTGAGAAAGTGACTGAATTGGTGGACCAGGAGATGTTGCCAGACTTTGAGCTGGATGCTGAACTCAGAAGAACTCTGGTAGTTAGAGTTCGTGCTTCAATCCGTATGTTTGTTCCTATCAAGGGCCGTCCTGTCCCTGAAGTCACATGGAGTAAAGATGATACTAACCTGAAAACACGTGCACATATTGACACCACAGAGTCGTACACTCTTCTGATTATTCCTGACTGCACAAGATATGATGCTGGAAAATACCACCTTTGTCTAGAGAATGTTGCTGGAAAGAAGACTGGGTTTGTTAATGTGAAAGTTCTGGATTCACCGGGACCGCCAGTCAATCTCAAACCTAGAGAGATCACGAAGAACAGCATCACCCTACAGTGGGAAATTCCCATTATTGACGGCGGTTCTAAGATTCGTAACTACATTATTGAGAAAAGAGCAGCCACTAAGAAGGCCTACACAGTGCTTAGCACCACATGGCAGAAGTGTTCCTTCAAGATTCCAGACCTCCAGGAGGGAGCTTACTACTATTTCCGTGTCTCAGCTGAGAATGACCTGGGTGTGGGTGAGCCAGCTGAAACCCCAGAGCCAATCAGGGTATCCCAGGCCCCCTCTGCCCCAGAAAATTTGTATGTCACCGATGTTACCTCTGATAGTGCCAGCCTTGCATGGACCAAGCCTTTGCATGATGGTGGCAGCTTGATCACTGGGTATGTCATTGAGGCTCAAAAGAAGGACACTGATCAGTGGGTCCATGTGGCCACCATTAAGGCTCTGGATTATACTGTTACAGATCTAATTGAGGGTGCTGAATATACCTTCCGTATAATGGCAGTCAATGCATCAGGCAGGAGTGATCCCCGTGAGAGCAGACCAGCTGTTATCAAAGAGCAGACTTCTGCTCCTTCATTTGACCTGCGTGGGGTCTACCAGAAAACGGTCATTGCTAAGGCAGGAGATCGGTTGAAGGTGGAGATTCCAGTGTTGGGCAAACCAAGGCCTGTGGTTTCATGGAAGAAAGGAGATAGAGTGCTCAAGGAGACACAAAGACTCAACATTGAAACCACACCAACATCAACTATTCTCAACATCAGTGAGATAAAACAGAAAGATGGAGGCCAGTATTCTATGACTGGTAAAAACATGCTGGGGACAATGACAGAGACAATCACAGTCCTGGTTCATGACATTCCTGGACCTCCAACTGGTCCTATTAAGCTGGAAGAAATTTCATGTGATTATGTGCTGATGTCCTGGGACCCACCAGAAAATGATGGAGGTGTTCCTATTAACAACTATATTGTTGAGATGCGGGAGACCACTGGTACTTCATGGGTAGAGCTGGCAGCTACAGTCATCCGCACCACATTTAAGGCAGCCAGACTCACTACAGGAACTCAGTATCAGTTCCGCATCAAGGCCCAGAACAGATATGGGATTGGACCAAGCATTATCTCTGAACCAGTGCTAGCTGTCTATCCATTTGATGTACCAAGCCAGCCTGGCACTCCCGTGGTCACCTCTTTCAACAAGGATGCTATGACCCTTAGTTGGAATGAGCCATCCTCTGATGGAGGTAGTGCCATTCTGGGCTATCATATGGAAAGGAAAGAGAAAAACAGTATTCTGTGGCAGAGGATCAGCAAAGCCCTTGTTGTTGGAAATCTATTTAAATCAACGGGCCTTATTGATGGAATTGCATATGAACACCGTGTTATTGCTGAAAATATGGCTGGTCTCAGCAAAGCCAGCAAACCCTCTGAGCCCATGTATGCTTTGGACCCAGTTGATCCACCAGGCAGGCCAGTAGCACTAAATATTACTAGGCATGAAGTGACCTTGTCATGGACCAAGCCAGAGGGAGATGGAGGATTTTCTATTACTGGATACACTGTAGAGAGGAGGGAGATGCCCAATGGACGTTGGCTCAAAGCAAACTTCAACAACATTCTGGAAACTATCTACACAGTCAGTGGTCTAACTGAAGATGCAACCTATGAATTCCGTGTGTTTGCTAGGAACTCAGCTGGTGCTGTTAGTGCTCCATCCCAGTCATCTGAAGCAATCTTGTGCAGAGATGACATTGAAGAGCCCCGGCTTGATGTAGATGTATCATATAGCAGCACTGTTGTTGTCATGGCAGGAGAGGTATTCAAGCTGGAAGCCAGTGTAACTGGAAGGCCAATCCCATCTCTGGTATGGACCAAAGAAGGAAAGGAGCTTGATGATACAGCCAAAATTGAGATAAAATCATCCGAGTTCCACACAACTTTAACAAACAAAGATTCGCTCAGGAGGGATGGTGGTGCTTTCACTTTGATTGCGAGCAATCCTGGTGGCTTTGCTAAGTTCATATACAATGTCAAGGTGTTAGACAGACCAGGACCTCCCAACTCCCTCACTGTAACAGATGTCACTGCTGAGAAATGTGTCCTTAATTGGATCCATCCAACACATGATGGTGGTGCCAAGATTGAGTACTTTATCCTTCAGAGACGAGAGACCAGCAGGTTGGCTTGGACAAATGTGGCCACAGACCTTCAAGCTAATAGGTTCAAGGTCACTAAGCTTCTAAAGGGCAATGAATACATTTTCAGAGTTATGGCTGTTAACAAGTATGGTGTGGGTGAACCTGTTGAGTCAGAACCTGTCATCTGTGCCAACCCCTATGTACCCAGTGACCCACCACAGCAGCCTGAAGTCACCATAATCACCAAGGACTCTATGGTTGTCTGCTGGGATCGCCCTGAACATGATGGTGGCAGTAGAATAAACACATACGTAATTGAAAGACGGGACAAAACTGGCCTGCGCTGGGTGAAGTGCAACAAGAGGACTGTAACTGACTTGCGATTCAAAGTCTCAGGCCTCACACCAGGGCATGAATATGAATTCAGAGTTCTTGCTGAGAATAATGCTGGGCTAAGTCAGCCCAGTCCTTCCAGTCCATTCTACAAAGCCATTGACACCATCTTCCAACCTGGACCTCCAGGGAACCCCAGAGTGCTGGACACAACCAAATCTTCTATTACACTTGCATGGAACAAGCCTGTCTATGATGGTGGTTCAGAAATCACTGGTTACATAGTGGAGACCTGCCTGCCTGAGGAGGATGAATGGACAATTCACACTCCCAAGAAGGGTTGGACTGCCACTTCTTTCACCATCACCAATTTGAGGGAAAACCAAGAGTATAAAGTCAATATTTCTGCAACTAATTGTGAAGGAGTGGGAGAGCCTGCAGCTGTTCCTGGAACACCCAAGTCTGAAGACAGACTAGTTCCTCCAGAAATTGAACTTGGAGCAGAACTACGTAAGGTGGTCTGCATCAGAGCCTGCAGCACACTCAGACTTTTTGTCCCTATCAAGGGAAGACCAGCACCTGAAATAAAATGGTCTAGAGAGCATGGGGAATCTCTAGATAAAGCTAACATTGAAATCACCTCATCATTCACCACTCTTCAGGTAGAGAATGTTGACAGATTTGATGTGGGTAAATACATTGTGACTGTAGAGAATGCCTCAGGAAGTAAGACAGCCTTTGTTAATGTCAGAGTGCTAGACAGTCCTGGAGCACCTCAGAATCTGATTGTCAGGGAGGTCACTAGAGATTCAGTTTCTCTTGCTTGGGATGCTCCTCTCATTGATGGTGGTTCCAGAGTCCGCAATTACATCGTGGAGAAGCGTGAATCAACCAGAAAGGCTTATTCAACTGTGTGTGCCAGCTGCCATAAGTCAAGTTGGAAAGTTGGAGACCTAGAGGAGGGAAAGATGTACTTCTTTAGAATTTTGGCTGAGAATGAATATGGCATTGGCCTCCCAGTAGAGACTCTTGAACCAATTAAAGCATCAGAGAAGCCTCTTCCCCCAGGCAAAGTGTCTCTCCGTGAAGTTACCAGCAAAAGTGTCACATTAAGTTGGGAAAAGCCTGACCATGACGGTGGAAGCAGAATCACTGGCTATATAGTTGAAATGCAGGGAAAAGGCAGTGAGAAGTGGACCCAGGTTATGGTTGTAAAAAGCAATGAAGCTCATGTTACTGGCCTTACACAGGGAGAGGAGTATACATTCCGTATTTCAGCCACTAATGAAAAGGGAGTCAGTGACCCCCGCCCTCTCAATGTGCCTGTGGTTGCCAAGGATCTGGTCATCTCACCAACCTTCAAACTTCTTTTCAGCACATTTAGTGTGCTAGCAGGGGATGATCTGAAAATAGATGTACCATATGCTGCCCATCCCAAGGCTACACCAACTTGGCTCAAAGATGGTGTTGCTCTCAAAGAGACGACAAGAGTGAATGCAGATTCCACAGACAAAAATCTTCACCTGGTTATTAAGGAGGCTTGCAGAGATGATGTGGGAACATATACTGTCAAACTTACTAACACAGCTGGAGAGGCATCTACAGATATTAGTGTTATTGTTTTAGATAAGCCTGGCCCTCCAACTGGCCCAATTAAGCTAGATGAGGTCACTGCTGATAGCGTGATCCTGTCCTGGGATCCACCTCAGTATGAAGGCGGTTGTGCCATCAATAATTACATCGTTGAGAAGAGAGACACATCTACCACTAACTGGCAGATTGTGTCAGCTACAGTAGCCAGAACCACTATCAAGGCAGCACGTCTGAAAACTGGATTGGAGTACCAATTTAGGATTGCTGCAGAGAACAGATATGGCAAATCTTCAGCCCTGTTATCTGATACTATTGTTGCTCAGTATCCTTTTGAGGTTCCTAGTTCACCACGTTCTGTTACCATTCAGTCAACCACCAAGGAAAGTATGGTGGTTGTATGGGAAAAACCCAGCAATGATGGTGGAAGCAAGATTTTGGGATACCATTTAGAGCTAAAAGAGAGAAACAATATATTGTGGGTGAAACAGAACAAACAACTTGTCCCAGAAGCAAGATTCAAGGTTATTGGCCTGGAGGAGGGTATTGAATATGAGTTCAGAGTTTATGCTGAGAACATTGTTGGCCTCAGCAAAGCCAGCAAAGTGAGTGAAGTACAAGTTGCCCGAGATCCTTGTGACAGACCGGGAAAACCAGAAGCTGTCATTGTAACACGAAACAAAGTGACACTAAGATGGACAAAACCCCAATATGATGGTGGAATCAAGATCATAGGTTATGTTGTTGAGAAGAAGGAGGGAGCTGGTCGCTGGATGAAGGCCAGTTTCGCTAACATCACTGAAACAGAATTTGTTGTCACAGGACTTATTGAGAATCAGATTTATGAATTCCGTGTCATTGCCAAAAATGCAGCAGGTGTTTTTAGCCAGCCATCTGATTCTACTGGAGCCATCACTGCCAAGGATGAGGTGGATCCACCCAAAATTGACTTGGAAGCTAAATACTCCCAAACTGTGGTAGTTAATGCTGGAGAGACATTTAAACTTGAGGCTGCTGTTTATGGTAAACCTGTACCCACAATTCATTGGCTGAAAGAGGGCCAGGAGATCACCGAAGCAGCTCGCTTAGAGCTTAGGAACACAGATTTTACAGCTTGTCTTGTTGTTAAAGAAGCCATCCGTGTTGATGGAGGTCACTACATACTTCTAGTAAAGAATGTTGGAGGAGAGAAATCTGTTAACATTAATGTTAAGGTTTTAGATAGACCTGGTGCACCCGAAGGCCCTATATCCATTTATGGTGTCACTAATGAAAAATGCTCAATTTCCTGGAAACCTCCCTTGCAAGATGGAGGAAGTGATGTTTCCCATTATATTGTTGAGAGGAGGGAAACCAGCAGATTGGTTTGGACTGTAGTTGAACCAAAAGTTCAGACACTGAACTTGAAGATCACCAAATTACTTCCTGGTAATGAATATATTTTCAGAGTGATTCCTGTTAACAAATATGGAGTTGGAGAGCCACTGGAATCTGAGCCAATGGTTGCCAGGAATCCATTTGTCACTCCCAACCCACCAACAAATGTGGAAGTTTCCACAATCACCAAAGACTCTATGGTGGTGACCTGGGAGAGACCAACTAATGACGGTGGCAGCCCAATCCAGGGATACATTGTTGAGAAACGTGACAAGGATGGTGTGCGATGGACTAGATGCAACAAGCGCAATATTAGTGAGCTGCGCTTTAGAGTTACAGGGCTTCTTGAAAACCATGGCTATGAATTCAGAGTTGCTGCTGAGAATGCTGCAGGTGTTGGCATGCCTAGTGCACCAACAGTGTACTACAAAGCACTGGATCCTGTCTTCAAACCAGGCCCACCAAACAACCCCAAGGTGGTAGACACATCTAGATCCACTGTTTCCCTAACATGGGGCAAACCCATCTATGACGGTGGCTGCGAGGTTCAGTCTTACATTGTAGAGGCATGTAATGGTGCATCTGATGAGTGGTTTATGTGTACTCCACCAACTGGAATCATGGACACAAAATATACTGTGAAAAAACTTCTGGAAAAGCATGAGTACCAATTTAGAGTGTGTGCAATCAACAAGGTTGGTGTTGGTGAGCATGCTGATGTTGCTGGAAAAATTCTTATGGAGGAGAAACTTGAAGCACCTGATCTTGATCTTGATGCAGATATGAGAAAGATGATCAACATCAGATCAGCAAGTACGCTCAGATTGTTTGTTCCTGTAAGAGGTCGTCCAGCTCCAGAGGTGAAATGGGGCAAGGCTGATGGTGAGATTAAGGAGACTGCTCTGATTGACAATACAGGCAGCTATGCATCACTTGTCATTGAGAATGTTGACAGATTTGATAGTGGCAAGTATACCCTGACTGCTGAGAATGCTAGTGGAGTAAAATCAGTCTTCATAAGTGTCAGAGTCCTGGACTCCCCTAGTCCACCAACTAACTTCGTGGTGAAAGAGATTACCAAGAATTCTGTCACTCTCACATGGGAGCCTCCACATCTGGATGGTGGCTCAAAGATTAAGCACTATATTGTTGAAAAGCGTGAGAGCACCAGGAAAGTGTACTCTCCCATCACTACATGCAACAAGATGTCGTGGAAAGTTGAACCTCTTCCAGAGGGTGGAATCTTTTTCTTTAGAGTATTGGCTGAGAATGAATATGGTGTGGGTCTCCCTGCTAAAACTATAGAACCAGTTAAGATATCTGAGAAACCTCAGCCACCTGGCAAGGTCAGTGTTGTTGATGTTACTCACAGCACTGTAACTTTAACTTGGGAAAAGCCTGTGCATGACGGTGGTAGTAGACTCACCCACTATGAAGTTGAACTAGCTCCCAAGGACAGTGAAACTTGGTCTATATGTGCTAGTGTGAAAGCACTGGAAACATTAGTGACAAACCTTCTCAAGGGAGAGGAGTACCAGTTCAGAGTTGTTGCTGTAAATGACAAGGGCAAAAGTGACCCACGACAGCTGGCTCATTCTGTTGTAGCAAAGGACCTTGTTATCGAACCTTCTGTTAGACCCAAGGCAAGTTCTTACAGTGTCCAGGTGGGGTATGACCTCAAGATAGAGGTCCCGGTCGCTGGTCACCCTAAACCAATTATCACCTGGACCAAAGATGGCGTAGCCCTTAAGCAGACTACCAGAGTCAATGTCACTGACTCAGCACAAACTACCACTCTTACCATAAAGGATGCTACCAGAGAAGATGGAGGTATGTACACTATCAGTGTCTCCAATGACCTTGGTTCAAAGAATGCCACTGTAGATGTGATCACCTTGGACAAACCAGGCCCACCCACAGGCCCTGTAAAGTTGGATGATATCAGTGCTGAGAGCATCACCCTCAGCTGGGAACCTCCTACATACACAGGTGGTTGTCCAATCTCAAACTATGTGGTGGAGAAGAGAGATACAACCACAACAAACTGGTCGGTTGTGTCTGCCACTGTGGCTAGAACCACTCTAAAAGTCAGCAACCTGAAGACAGGCACTGAGTACCAGTTCAGAATTTATGCTGAAAATAGATATGGAAAGAGCTATGCAATTGATTCACAGCCTGTTGTGGCACAGTATCCATTCCAGGAGCCAGGACCACCAGGAACACCATTTGTTTCTTCATACACTAAAGACTACATGGTAGTTGAGTGGCATAAACCCCCAAGTGATGGTGGCAGTGCCATCTTGGGCTACCATCTGGAAAGGAAAGAAAGGAACAGTATCCTCTGGACAAAGATAAACAAAATGCTCATCCAAGATTGTAGATTCAAATCTACTCCACTCGAGGAAGGCATTGAGTATGAGTATAGAGTCTATGCAGAGAACATTGTTGGCATTGGTGAATGTAGCAAAGTATCTGAGGTTTATGTTGCCCGTGATCCATGTGATCCTCCTAGCCGTCCTGAGGCTTTGATTGTGACCAGGCACTCAGTGAAACTCAAGTGGAACCCCCCACAGTACGATGGTGGGAGTTTAGTTACAGGTTATCTAGTAGAGAAACGTGATCTTCCTGAAGGAAAATGGATGAAGGCTAGCTTCACAAACATCATTGAACACGAATTCACAGTTACTGGCCTGACAGAAGATAGCAAATATGACTTCAGAGTAATTGCAAAGAATGCTGCAGGTGCCGTTAGCAAGGCCTCTGAGAGCACAGGATCCATAACGGCTAAGGATGAAGTTGTCCCACCTACGAGTGAGACAGATCCTATGTACAACCAGACCCTTGTTATAAATGCAGGAGAGACATTCAATCTTGAGGCCAGTGTGGAAGGAAAGCCTATTCCAACTGCTCAGTGGTTCAAGGGGAATCTTGAAGTTGAAAACTCAGCAAGAGCGGAGATCAAAAACACAGATTTTAAAGCTTTGCTTGTTGTAAAAGATGCTATCAGAGTTGATGGTGGACATTATACTCTGGTTCTCACAAATGTTGCAGGAAGTAAGACTATCCCCTTCAGTGTGAAGGTTCTGGACAGACCAGGGCCTTCAGAAGGACCTCTTACTATCAGCAATGTTACTGAGGAAAAATGCTCACTGTCGTGGCTGCCACCCAGGCATGATGGAGGCGCCAGCATTTCTCACTACATCATTCAGAAAAGAGAAACTAGCCGCTTGGCATGGACTGTGGTCTGCAGTGATTGTAAAGCTACCATGTTTAAAGTTACAAAACTACTGAAGGGAAATGAGTACATCTTCAGAGTCATGGCTGTCAACAAATATGGCACAGGTGAGCCGCTTGAATCAGCACCAGTTATCATGAGAAATCCATTTGTTCCACCTGGAGCACCTCAGGATCTTGAGATCACAAATATCACCAGGGATTCTATGACTGTATGTTGGAACCGTCCTGAGACATCAGGAGGCAGTGACATTGTTGGCTACATTGTTGAGAAGAGAGACAGAGCAGGAGTGAGGTGGACCAAGTGCAACAAACGCAGAGTGACAGACTTGCGTTTCAGAGTAACAGGACTGACTGAGGACCATGAATATGAATTCAGGATATCTGCTGAGAATGCAGCTGGAGTGGGCCATCCAAGTCCATCGACAACCTATCTTAAGGCATGTGACCCCACCTTCGAGCCAGGCTGTCCCACCAATGTCCATGTGGTAGACACTACTAGAGACTCCATTAGTCTGGCTTGGCACAGACCTATCTATGATGGTGGCTGTGAGATTCAAGGCTACGCAGTGGAAATAACCAAGGCTGATGAGGAGGAATGGGTCATATGCACCCCACCTTGTGGAGTCAATGCTACCAAGTTTACTATCAAAAAGTTGATTGAACACCAAGAATACAAGGTCCGCACTTGTGCTATCAACAAGGAGGGTGTTGGTGAGCCTACTGAGATTCAGGGAGTCGTCAAACCTATGGATAAGATTGACCCTCCAGAAGTGATTCTGGATTCAGAGCTCAGGAAGGGAATAGTTGTCCGTGCAGGAGGCTCGATGAGAGTCTGCATTCCATTCAAAGGCCGTCCTACTCCTGAGATAAACTGGGCCAAAGAGGGTGGAGAGTTACCCAGTAAAGTTCAGGTTGAGACTGGTGAAGATTACACAAAGCTCTCAATTGAAATCTGTGACAAATATGATGCTGGAAAGTACGTGCTCAATTTAGAAAATAGTGCTGGCACCAAATCAGCTTTTGTTTCCGTTAAGGTGCTAGACACTCCAGGGGCTCCTTTAAACCTAACAGTAACAGACATCAAGAGGAAAAGTGTGACTCTGACCTGGGAGCCTCCTCTTATTGATGGTGGTGCAAGAATCAAGAATTACCTTGTTGAAAAGAGGGAGTCCACGAGGAAGGTTTACTCTAATGTGGACAACAAGTGCACAAAGACAAGCTATCGTATAACTGGCCTGACAGAGGGAACTATATATTATTTCAGAGTCTTAGCAGAGAATGAGTTTGGTGTGGGACAGCCAGCTGAGACAGAAGAATCAGTAAAAACATCTGAGCCCCCCCTGCCTGTGGGTAAGGTCACATTGACCGAAGTGACAAAAACAACTGCTTCACTCTCCTGGGAGAAGCCAGATTATGATGGAGGTAGCAGAATCATTGGTTACTACATTGAGATGCAGCCTGTGGGCTCAGAGGAATGGGTGGTAGCTGCCACATGCAAAACTTGTGAAGGCACTGTCACAGGCCTCAGTGCAGGACATGAGTACCTATTTAGAATCTTAGCCTTCAATGAGAAGGGCAAGAGTGACCCTAGACCTTTGGCAGCGCCAGTCACTGCTAAAGACATAACCATTGAACCCAAATTCAAGATTCAATTTAACACTTATAGTTTACAGCACGGTGAGGATTTGAAGATTGAGATTCCAGTGATTGGACGACCTGTTCCCAAGGTTGAATGGAAGAAGGATGGACAAGCTCTTAAAGAGACGACAAGAATTAATGTTTCCAGCGCATTGTCATGCACTAAGCTGTACATCAAAGATGCAAATAAGGAGGACTCTGGCAAATACACTGTCACAGCCACCAGTAGCATTGGAACAGCTACAGAGGAGCTTACTGTTATTATTCTTGATAAGCCTGGGCCACCCACGGGCCCTGTAAAGATAGAAGAGGTGAGCTCTAATTATGTCACCCTCTCTTGGGAGCCACCAGAGTATACCGGAGGCTGTCCCATCAATAATTACATCGTGGAGAAGAGAGATACTACCACCACAGCATGGCAGATTGTTTCTGCTACTATTGCCAGGACAACCATCAAAGTCACCAAGTTGAAGACTGGTGTTGAATATCAATTCAGAGTGTCAGCTGAAAATAGATACGGGAAGAGTTCTGCAATTGTCTCTCCTGCTGTTATTGCTCAGTATCCATTTAGTGAGCCTGTGGCCCCAGGAACACCAGTCATTTCTTCTGTAACCAAGGATAGCATGGTTGTTGAGTGGAAACCTCCTACCAACAATGGGGGCAGTCCAATTCTTGGCTATCACCTTGAGAGAAAAGAAAAGAATAGCCTCTTGTGGACTAAATTAAACAAGCTTCTAATACCAGACACACGTTTCAGAACTACAGAACTTGAAGAAGGTATTGAGTATGAATTCAGGGTTTATGCTGAAAATATTGCTGGTCTCAGCCCAGCTAGCAAGCTGTCTGAGAGCACAGTAGCAAGGGACCCTTGTGACCCACCGGGAACTCCTGAGCCTATTGAAATCACCAGAAACCATGTGACACTCCAGTGGACCAAGCCCCAGTATGATGGAGGGAGTGCAATTACTGGCTATGTGATTGAGAGAAGGAAGCACCCAGACACCCGCTGGATGAAGGCCAGCTTCACTAACATCATTGATACACAATTTACACTTACTGGTCTGACTGAAGACTGTGTGTATGAGTTCAGGGTCATTGCCAGAAATAGTGCTGGGATTTTGAGCCAACCCTCTCAGAGCACAGGGGAAATTACTGCCAAAGATGAAATTGAGGCTCCAGCAGCCACCATGGATTCGAAATTCAAGGATATGACTATTGTTCACGCAGGTGAGACATTTGTCATTGATGCTGACTATACTGGAAAACCTTTGCCTGAGGTAATTTGGTTAAAGGATGGAAAAGAGATTGACAAAGCCACACCAAGAATGGAAATCAAGACTACCCTCACACGTACCATCCTGACAGTCAAGGATTGCATCAGAGTGGATGGTGGCCACTTTTTCCTCAAGCTTATTAATGTGGGAGGAGTCAAGATGATCCCAGTTAATGTCAAAGTTCTGGATAGACCTGGGCCTCCAGATGGACCTCTAGAAGTCAAAGGGGTCACAGCTGAGAAATGTTATCTGCATTGGAGTCATCCCTCACATGACGGAGGAGCTAGCATCTCTCACTATATCATTGAGAAGAGAGAGACTAGTCGTTTGTCATGGACTATGGTTGAGCCCAAGATTCAGGCAATCAGCCACAAAATCACAAAACTATTGCCTGGCAATGAATATATCTTTCGAGTTACTGCTGTAAATAAATATGGTGTTGGCGAGCCTTTAGAATCAGAAGCTGTTGTTGCTCGTAACCCTTTCACCACTCCCAGTGCCCCCTTAACCCTTGAGGTCGGTGCCATCACTAGGGACTCCATGGTGCTTACCTGGGAGAGGCCCAATGATAATGGAGGTGCAGAGATTGAGGGATATGTCCTTGAAAAACGTGATAAAGATGGTATCAGATGGAGTAAATGCAACAAGAAGAGGCTGAATGACCTGCGATTCAGATGCACTGGTCTCACAGAGGGCCACTCATATGAATTCAGGGTTTCGGCTGAAAATGCTGCTGGTGTAGGAAAGCCTAGTGCACCAACTCCATACATCAAGGCCTGTGATGCCACTTATCCACCTGGACCCCCAAATAATCCAAAGGTCACTGACCATTCAAGTACCACAGTTTCCCTTTCATGGTCCAGGCCTATATATGATGGTGGTGCACAGATCACTGGGTATATTATTGAAATGAAAGAGGCAACAGATGATGAATGGATCATTAGCACACCACACACTGGCGTCCAAGCCACTAACTACACAGTAAAGAAACTTAAGGAGAATGCGGAGTACAACTTCCGCGTAAGTGCTGTTAATTGTGAGGGAGTAGGAGAACATGTAGATTTGCCTTGTTCTGTGATTGCTGCAGAGAAGCTGGAGGCTCCTGAAATTGAACTAGATTGTGACCTAAGAAAGATGGTCAACGTCCGTGCCTCTGCTACCTTGCGTCTGTTTGTGACAACCAGAGGGAAGCCTGAGCCTGAAGTCAGATGGTCAAAGGCTGATGGCACTCTAAATGAACGTGCCCAGGTAGAAGTCACAAGCTCTTACACAATGCTGGTGATTGAGAATGTTGACAGATTTGACACTGGCAAATATGTGCTGACCCTTGAAAACCTCAGTGGCTCTAAATCAGCCTTTATCAATGTCAGAGTTCTGGATTCTCCTAGTGCTCCTACTAACCTCGGAGTTAAGGATGTTAAAAGAAATTCTGTCTCTCTCTCCTGGGAGCCTCCTCTAATTGATGGTGGGGCTAAGATATCACATTATATAGTGGAGAAGAGAGAACAGAAGAGAATGGCTTTCACCAGTGTTTGCACTAACTGCGTCAGAAACTCCTACATTATTTCAGACCTGCAGGAAGGAGGCCGATACTATTTCCGCGTGTTAGCTGTGAATGAACTCGGAGTAGGTCTGCCTGCATCCACAGATCAAGTTAAGGTGTCTGAGCCTCCTCTGCCTCCTGGTAAGATTGTCGTTGTTGACATTACTCGTCATACTGTTACACTCTCTTGGGAGAAACCTGATCATGATGGAGGCAGTAAGATTACAAACTATATTGTGGAGATGCAGCCCAAGGGAGATGACAAATGGACGATGTGCAATGAAGTCAAAGCACTGGAAGCTACCATTGATGGACTCACAACTGGAGAGGAATACTCCTTCAGGGTAACTGCTGTGAATGATAAGGGTAGAAGCGATGCTAAGCCTCTGGCTACTCCTGTGGTGGTAAGGGACATCACGATGGAGCCCATCATCAACCTGTTATTCACCACATACAGTGTAAAAGCAGGAGACGATTTGAAGATTGACGTTCCCTTCAAAAGCAGACCAGAGCCTGAGGTGTGCTGGAAGAAGGATGGCCAAGTGCTTAAGCAGACAACCAGGGTAAATGTTCTTAATTCAAAAACCTCATCTAAGATTGTCATCAAGGATGCCACGAAGGAGGATGTAGGGAAGTATGTGATTACCCTGACTAACTCAGTTGGTACCAAGTCAGCTGAAATTTCTGTTATAATCCTGGATAAACCTGGACCACCTAGTAACATTAAGGTTGATGAGGTGAGCGCTGACTTTATTTTTCTGTCTTGGGATCCTCCAACCTATGATGGTGGTTGTCAGATTAACAACTATGTCGTTGAGAAGAGAGACACTACTACTACAACATGGCAAATCGTGTCAGCCACAGTGGCCAGAACATCAATAAAGGTTTCTCGACTTACACAGGGGACAGAGTACCAGTTCCGCATTGCAGCTGAGAACCGTTATGGGAAGAGTCCTGCCATAGATTCTGCTCCTGTTGTTGCTCAGTATCCATTTGAGCCTCCTGGCCCTCCAACCCAACTTCATGTTGCCCATGCCACCAAAACTGGGATGCTCGTGGTATGGGGCAGACCTGGAAGTGATGGTGGAAGTCCTGTTATTGGTTATCACATTGAAAGCAAAGACCAAAGCAGCATCTTGTGGACCAAGGTCAACAGAGGTCTGGTGGCTGAGAACCAGTTTAAGATGACAGGAATGGAAGAAGGTTTGTTGTATCAGTTCAGAGTGTATGCTGAGAATATTGCTGGAATTGGTCCATGCACTAGGGCAAGTGACCCTGTGGCAGCCAGGGATCCATGTGAATCTCCACATAACCTTAGAGTCACAAACATCACTAGAAATTCAGTTTCTCTTTTTTGGGAAAGACCTGAATATGATGGCAGTGCAAAAATTACTGGCTACATTGTTGAGCGTCAAGAGCTTCCCAATGGTCGCTGGCTGAAATGCAACTTCACCAATGTTCAAGAGACTTACTTTGATGTCACTGGTCTCACAGAAGATGTCCGATATGATTTCCATGTTATTGCTAAAAATTCTGCAGAGCAATTGAGTGCTCCTTCAGAAAGCACTGGACCCGTCACTGTCAAAGATGATGTAGACCCTCCCACCATTATACTGGAAGATAAATTCAGACAGTTGGTTGTCATTAAGGCTGGAGAAATCATTAGAATTGATGCTGAAATTACTGGGCGTCCACTCCCAGTTGTTTCATGGTCTAAGGATGGAAAGGAGATTGAGGCCAAGGCCAGATGTGAAATCACATCCACTAACTTCACAACCACGCTCATTGTCAGAGATGCTATCAGAAGGGACTCTGGACAGTATGTTCTTACTCTGCACAATGTAGCTGGAACCAGATCTATAGCTATCAACTGTAAGGTTCTGGACAGACCCGGACCTGCATCAGGACCTTTAACAGTTTCTGGTCTCACAGCAGAGAAATGCACCCTGTCATGGGGACCACCTCAGGAAAATGGTGGTGCTGAAATTATGCACTACATTGTTGAGAAACGTGAGACCAGTCGTCTTGCCTGGACTCTTGTCTATGGTGACATGAAGGCAATTACCTGCAAAGTGACTAAACTGCTCAGAGGAAATGAGTACATCTTCCGAGTTAGGGGAGTCAACAAATATGGAGATGGTGAAAGCCTGGAGAGTGAGCCAACAAAGGCCACTGATCCATTCACTGTCGCTTCAGCTCCCACTAATGTCCAGGTCACCTCTGTTACAAGTGAGGCAATGACCATTTGCTGGGAAAGACCTGTTTCTGATGGTGGCAGCAGTATTGCTGGCTATGTAATTGAGAAGCGAGAGAAGACTGGCCTCCGCTGGTGCCGTGTCAACAAGAAACCTGTTTATGACCTTAGAGTGAAAGCTTCACACCTTCGCGAGGGCTGTGAGTACGAATACAGAGTTTTTGCCGAGAATGCTGCTGGCCTCAGTGCTCCTAGCACTCCTTGCCCACTCACCAGGGCAGAAGACCCACAGTTTTTACCCTCACCTCCAGCTAAGCCTAGGATAATTGACTCCACAAAGACTACAGTCACCTTGTCATGGAATAAGCCACTTTTTGATGGTGGAGCACCTGTGACTGGTTACAGAGTAGAATACAGGAAGACATTAGATGATGAATGGATTGTTGGAGTACAGAACACCAAAAACACAGAATTTACAGTGGTGGGATTATCACCTGGAACTGAATATGTGTTTGTTGTCAAATCCATTAACAAGATTGGAGTGAGTGAGCCCAGTCCTGAGTCAGACAAACAAGTTGCCAAAGAAAGAGAGGAGGAGCCAACCTTTGATGTTAGCAATGAAATGAGAAAGACTCTTATTGTAAAGGATGGAAGCTCTTTCACAATGAAAGTTCCTTTCAAAGGCAAACCCATCCCTAGTGTTACTTGGGCTAAGCCTGATGTAGACCTTAGAGTTCGTGCTGTAATTGACACCACAGATACCTTTTCTTCCATCACCTTAGAAAAAGCAACTCGGGATGACTCTGGAAAATACACTGTCACTCTATCCAATGTAGCTGGTACCTCCTCCTTGACGCTCAATGTCCGAGTTTTGGACTCACCTGGGCCTCCTAGTCATATAGAGGTCAAGGAAGTCACAAAGACCTCTGCTACTATAACCTGGGATACTCCTGAGATTGAGGGAGGAGGACCAGTCAAGAATTACCTTATTGATTACCGTGAGGCTAGCAAGAAAGGCTGGAGTAGATTGACTGACACATGCCACAGACTGACATACAAGGTGGCAGACCTGCAGGAGGGAGAAGTCTACTACTTCAGAGTGACAGGCGAGAATGAATATGGTATTGGTGTTCCTGCTGAGACCAAAGAGGGGACCAAGATCACAGGTATTAAATCCTGAGTTGGTATTTTTTTTATTTTTATAGAAAATATATATCAATATTTGTTTTAATTGAAAGACATATTTTCTTTCTCCAGAAAAACCAAGTCCACCACCAAAACTGGGTGTAACGGATGTAACCAAGGAAAGTGTGTCCTTGGCTTGGGCCAAGCCAGAACATGATGGAGGCAGCAGAATTACTAGCTACCTAGTAGAAGCACTGGAGAATGGACAAGAGAAGTGGGTTAAATGTGGTACAACAAAGTCCATCCACTTCACAGTGTCTGGTCTGAGGGAGAATGCGGAGTACTTCTTCAGAGTCAGAGCTGAGAACTACGCTGGATTCAGTGATGCTAAGGAAATGACTACTCCTGTAGTGGTCAAAGACCAGCTTGGTAAACTACAAGCTTGTTATAATAATCAGAACATGCCATGCAATTAGTAGAGACTACACCTAATTTCTCCTGTTGTAACTCTTTTTGGTACTTTTTGTTCTAGAATCTCCTGAGATCATCATGAAGGACTTCCCCCACAATACAGTATATGTTAGAGCTGGATCTACCCTAAAATGTGAGATTCCATTGACAGGCCGGCCTTTACCTAAAGTGACTCTGTCCAAGGATAATGTGCTGCTCAAATCAACAATGAGGTTTAACTCAGAAGTCACTCCTGACAGTATCAAGATTACTCTGCGTGAGAGCATTGCAGGAGACTCAGGCCGCTATGATATTATTGCCTCCAACTCCAGTGGAACCACCAAGTCCTTTGTAAATATTGTGGTTCTTGACCGCCCCAGTGTCCCACTTGGACCAGTGGAGCTGTATGATGTCACAGAAGACAGTGTAAGCTTAAAGTGGCTTCCACCAGCATATGATGGTGGCAGTCCCATCACCAACTACATCATCCAGAAGCGAGAGACAACTACAGCCAACTGGATGGACGTGTCTTCAGCTGTGGCCCGTTGCACCATGAAAATTATGAAGCTGACCACTGGCCTGGAGTACCAATTCAGAATTAGGGCAGAGAACAGATATGGAATCAGTGAACATATTGACTCCCCAGCTGTCGCTGTCAGTCTTCCTTACAGTAAGAAGTTTTTGCTTTTCTTATTATTATTATACATAAACATAATAATTTTCCTACTCATTCTTTACACCTTCACTATGTGAGCATGCCAAAATTCTCAAACTCTGCCTCTTGTTCTCCAGCTATACCAGATGCGCCATCAACTCCAGAAATTACTGCTGTAACCAGGGAAACCATTTCTGTTGCATGGAAGGAGCCAAAGTCAGATGGAGGCAGCCATGTGTTTGGTTACCATCTCCAAATGAAAGACAAAAACAGCATCCTTTGGCAGAGAATCAACAAAACAGTGATCCGTGCCACACACTTTAAAGTCACCAACATAAATGCTGGACTTATTTATGAGTTCAAGGTAGCAGCAGAAAACTCTGCTGGAATTAGTGCCTTCAGCAAGATTTCTGATGCTGTATTGGCTATTGATGCCTGCGGTGAGTTTATAGTCGATAAAATGCATGAAGAATTCTTTGACTTAAGATTTTCTGCAATATTTATCAAAATCATTCTCACTGTATGTTCCTATAGAGCCACCCCTATACTTGCGTATAACTGACATCACTAAGAACTCCATTAGTCTGGCCTGGCAGAAGCCTGACTATGATGGTGGATCCCCAATAACTGGTTACATCATTGAGAAGAGAGAGGGTGTTAGCTCCAAATGGTCTAAAGCTAACCTCACCAATATCACAGACACCCGCTTCATTGTTACTGGCCTCACCCAGGATGAAACGTATGAGTTCCGAGCATTGGCAAAGAATGCAGTTGGTTCAGTGAGCAATCCGTCTATCACTGTGGGGCCAGCCACATGTGTGGACACTTATGGTAGGTCTTTTCATGTTGGATTATATTTGTGTATTTTTTTCTGCAATTATGCATTGTCTTGTATTCTAAGATAGTTATTCCACACCCTACATATTCTACATCCTGACTTGTTTTACCATCTCTGGTCCAGGTGCCCCAGAGATTGAAATACCTCAGGAGTATCTTAATGAGGTCAAGCACAAGGCTGGCTCTAATGTGGAACTCAAATTTAATATAAGAGCCAAACCTGCTCCCAGTATTGAGTGGTTTAAAGATGGCAGAGAGCTTAAGCCTACTTCTCAGCTCTCTTTTAAACACACCTTCGAGTCCACAAGTGTGTTCGTGAAGGAAACAACTCGTCTTAACTCTGGAACCTATGAAGTCAAGGTGAAGAACTCCCTCGGATCTTCATGTGCCATTGTCAGGCTGCTCATTCAAGGTATTTATTTAATATTTATTTTTCATTGTATAACATGTATCATATATGCAGTATACACCCTGAGTCAAATGTTTTCCTTGTCTAATCAGATAAGCCAGGCCCACCTGCTGGAGAGATTCAGTTTAAGAAGGTGACAGCTGACAACATCACCATCATGTGGTCCCCACCTGCTGATGAAGGTGGTGCCATGGTAACACATTACATTGTAGAAAAGCGGGAGACCAGCAGGGTAATGTGGTCGATTGTCTCAGAGAAACTGGTTGACTGCATTGTGAATGTGCCCAGACTCATAATGGGCAATGAGTACATCTTTAGAATCCGTGGAGTCAACAAGTATGGCATTGGAGATCCACTGGAGTCTGAGCCCATTATTGCCAAGAATGCATTTGGTAAGCAAATAGAATAAAATCACCTCATCAGTCACCCCATATCTGACTGATGATATGACTGACTGATAATATATCAACTTTCATTATAGACAGTGGTAAATTACAATGGTAAACTTAAAAGCTTTAACCTTATCATTTTTATTTTGCACAGTACCTCCCAGCGAGCCATCTAAGCCTAAAGTTACTATGATCACTAAGTCTACCATGACAGTGATCTGGGAAAGACCAGCATTGGACGGAGGCAGTGATATTGATGGCTACTATCTAGAGAAAAGGGAGAAGAGGAGTCTGCAATGGTTCAAGGTTTGTTTGCTGCCCCAAATCTAAAAAGTTCAAGCATAAAGAAAATCTACCAACGAATAGGAGATGTTAGCTTTAATACATCCATTTTTTTTATCAAGGTGGTGAAGGGCACTATCAGAGACACCAGGCAGAAAGTGGCTAACCTGGTGGAGAACAATGAGTACCAGTACAGAGTGTGTGCTGTCAACAAGGCTGGAGCAGGAAACTACTCTGAACCTTCTGAGCTCTATAAAGCCTATGACCCAATAGGTATATGACTTTAATTTGCAGTTATCCTCATCTCGTCAGCATTTGAGGAATTCCTTTATTGTTTACATTTTCCTTTTTTCTTCTCCAGATCTACCAGGTGAACCCACTAAGCTGGGTGTGGTTGACTCCACAAAGACATCTATCACACTTGGATGGGAGAAGCCCGTCTATGATGGTGGCAGCGAAATTACACACTATATTTTAGAGCAGATGAATACAGAGGACAAAGAATGGGTGATTACCAACCCTCAAGTCAAGACATGTGAGTATGTGGTGTCCCACCTCAAACCTAGCACCTACTACTTCTTCAGAGTATCTGCTGTCAACTGTAAAGGCAAAGGAGAAGACATCAAAATGTACCAGCCTGTGCAAGCCAAAGATATTTTAGGTTAGTATTGATATAGTTCCCTTTATAGTACAAGATATATCAATAATAAAATCAAAATTAATATTCTTTTCCATCTTTGTATGACATTTGTGTCCAACAGAGGAGGCTGATCTGGACTTGGATGTTGCTATGACAACTCAATACACAGCAAAGGCTGGCCGTGATGTGGAAGTCTTTATCCCCTTGAAGGGTCGTCCTACACCAAATGTCACCTGGCGCCGTGGTGACCGTAACATGGCTGGTGATAACCGCTACACAGTCACAAGCACTGAAAGAGCCACCACACTCCTCATCCCCAAGGTCACCCGTGATGACTGCGGAAAGTATATGCTGGAAATTGAGAATGGTGTTGGAGAACCTAAGATAGTTACTGTTTCCCTCAAGGTTCTGGACAGTCCATCCACCTGCCAGAAACTGATGATAAAGAATGTCACAAGAGGAAAGCTGACACTAAGCTGGGAGCCTCCGCTCATAGATGGTGGCTCCCCTGTGACTAATTACATTGTCGAAAAGAAGGCCTCCACTATGAAAGCTTATCAAGTGATTACTGATGAGTGTTTAAATACAAGTTACAAGGTGTCAGGGCTGGAGGAAGATATAGCTTACTTCTTCCGTGTGTCTGCTCAAAATGAGTTTGGTGTGGGTGACACTTGTGAAACCACTGATGCTGTCCGAGCAACTGAAACTCCAGGAGCTGTTAAAGACCTAATAATGGTGGACTCCACAAAGACCTCTGTCACCCTTCAGTGGAGCAGACCTGACCACGATGGTGGCAGCCACATCACTGACTACATCATAGAGAAGAGAGCCCAGGAAGAAGTCAAATGGACTTTAGCTGCTAAATGCAAGCGGTACAGCTGTGAAGTGACGGGACTCAAGGAAAATGCTATCCTGGATTTCAGAGTGTTTGCAAAGAATGAGAAAGGCAACAGTGACTTCTCCCAAATTGGTCCGATCACAGTGATGGACCTCATCATTCCACCTGAAGCCAAACTGAATGATTATCCCAATGGAGAGCTTGCTGTTCGTATAGGTCAAAACATCCATATTGAGTTACCATTCAAGGGAAAACCAAGACCTACAATCAGCTGGCTAAAGGATAATTTCCCACTAAAGGAAAGTGAGAAGATTCGCTTTAGGACCACTGACAACAAGACTTCAGTTACAGTCAGAGGGGTTAAGAAAGAACATGCTGGACAATACACCTTGGTTCTGGATAACAGAGTCATTAAGAACTACTTTGACATCAATGTGATCACTCTGGGACCCCCTTCAGTCCCTACTGGCCCCATCCGTTTTGACGAGATAAAAGCTCAGACTATTATTATCTCCTGGGATGAGCCGAAGGAAGATGGAGGTGGCGAGATCACCTGCTACAGCGTGGAGAAACGTGAAACCTCCCAGGCCAACTGGAAGATGGTCTGCTCCAGTGTTGTCAGGACTACCTTTAAGATTCCTAACCTGGTCAAAGGAACTCAGTACCAGTTCAGAGTCCGTGCAGAAAATAAGTATGGGGTCAGTGAGCCACTCATCTCTTCAGATGTTGTTGCCCAGCACCAGTACAAACCTCCAGGTCCTCCAGGAAAACCAGTTGCCTACAACATCACCAGTGATGGTATGTCAATAAAGTGGGATGCCCCAGAGTTTGACGGGGGTTCCCCAGTCTTAGGTTATCATGTCGAGAAGAAGGACAGGAACAGCCTCTTATGGCAGAAAGTGAATTCCACAACCATCTCTAACAGAGAGTACAGGATAATTGGTCTTGTGGAGGGTCTGGAGTACTCCTTTAGAGTCTATGCAGAGAACAATGCCGGATTCAGCCCTTGCAGTGAGCAGAGCAAACATGCACTCGCTATCTCCCCTGTTGGTAAGTAGATGTTGCTCAGTACATCAGTCTATATTTAGACATTATGATTCTTTAAATTTGTCCTATTTAGTTACTCTTTACATCTAAATTATTATGGATTAATTGCTTTCTTGCCTCAATTAGATCCACCCGGTACCCCAGTCTGCATTGATGTAACCAGAGACTCAGTCACCCTCCAATGGGACATTCCCAAGAGGGATGGTGGAAGCAAAATTGTAGCCTATAGTGTGGAGAGGCGTCAAGGCAGAGGCAAATGGCTACGGTGCAACTTCACTGATATCAGTGAGACCCAGTTCACTGTAACTGGTCTCACACCTGGAGACAGATTTGAGTTCAGAGTGATTGCCAGGAATGCTGTTGGCACAGTCAGCCCACCATCCAACTCCTCTGGATACATAATGACCAAGGATGAGAGCAGTAAGTATTTTTAATATAAAAAAACATGTTAGAAGAACGATTGATTGTTTTTTAATTAATCACATCTTACTTGATGCTGATTCATAATCTTTTTGTCTGCATCTCCAGTTGCTCCTGAGATTGTGTGGTCTCCAGACCAGGTGCTCACCCTGAGGGCTGGAGATAATGTCAGTCTCAGCTGCAAAATCACCGGACGTCCAGTCCCACAGGTTCTTTGGTACAAGGACGGTAAAGAGATCGACAAGAGGACTATGATTGACATTGCGATTACTACTGGCATTGGCACCAGTAGTCTGTTTATTCGCGATTCTAACAGGAACCACCGTGGAATTTACACTGTAGAGGCCAAAAATAGCTCTGGAACCAAGAAAGCTGACATTAACGTTAGAGTCCAAGGTTTGTAAATATGTGCAATTTGTTATAATATCTGTTAAAAAACACTGTTTTAGACAAATCTGTTTCTGTTGACACAAGTGATACAAATGATTTTTACCGTAACAAGTCTCCTCAATCAACTGTTTCCTTGCAGATACCCCTGGACCTGTCGAGGGCCCAATCCGTTTCACAGGCATCACAGCTGAGAAGTGCACTGTGTGGTGGAGCCCACCAGAGAACGATGGCTGTGCTGCCATTACTCACTATGTGGTGGAGAAAAGGGAGACATCCAGGATCTCTTGGGCCTTGGTCACCTCCAAGTGTGAAGCTTGCTCTTATAATGCCACCAACCTCATCAAAGGCAATGAGTACCAGTTCAGAATCTCTGCTGTCAACAAGTTTGGTGTCGGCAAACCACTGGACTCTGATCCTATAATTGCGAAGATGCAATACAGTAAGTAAAGTTACTCAGTGCTGTCTGTCTGACTTGTTGGGAAACTCTTAAAAGTAATCTGAATTTTCTATTGAACATAAGCACTAATGGAAGAAATGCTTTCCACCATTCAAAGATATTACTTTAAAAAAATTATATTTTTGTTCTGTTACTCAGCTGTTCCTGATGCCCCTGGTACACCAGATGCCACCCATATTACTGGAGAAAGCATAACAATGTGTTGGACCAGGCCACGGTCAGACGGAGGCAATGAGATTAAATGCTACATCCTAGAGAGGAGAGAGAAGAAGAGCTTGCGCTGGGTTAAGGTCTCCTCCAAGAGGCCCATTACAGAGTTAAGGCACCGTGTGACCAAACTTACTGAGGGCAATGAGTATGAGTTCCGTGTTATGGCTGAAAATGGTGCTGGTGTTGGACCAGCCAGCAGCACCTCCAGGCTCTTCAGATGCAGAGAACCAACAAGTGCTCCCAGTGCTCCCACTGTAATCAAGGTAGATCTTGTGTTAACACTCATTGAATTATACATGGAGGATCTTTTAAGTAAAAACCAATTTCCTAAACTGGTCTTGAAATTTACAGGCCAATCATATGTATTCTTTTTGGTTTTACTATTTAATTTTACAGAATGGCAAACTTATAAAAAGAATGAAACATATGAGTTCAATATTAGATTGTAGAAACAAAATGCATTTAAAAAATTGTAACTATGCTTTTTGTTCATCAGGTCATTGACTCCACTAAGTCCTCTGTCACCCTGGAATGGACCAAGCCAGTCTTTGATGGTGGCATGGAAATAATTGGCTACAATATAGATATGTGTAAGGCCAGTCTGGAGGAGTGGCACAGAGTCAACAGACAGATTTGTATTCACACCAGGTATACTGTCACAGGTCTAGTACCTGGAGAACTCTACAAGTTCAGAGTCAGTGCTGTAAATGGATCAGGAGAGGGCGAAGCATCAGTGATGCCAAACCCTGTTCAGTCTTTGGACAGACTTACATCTCCTGAAATTGATCTTGGTCCTGACTTCAAGCAAACTCATATTGTGAAGAATGGAGGCACTATAAGCCTACATATTGCTTTCCGAGGAAAGCCAGCTCCTCTAGCCACGTGGTCTAAATTAGACAGTGAGCTTCCGATAATGGCTGATATCAACACCACAGATTCATTTTCCACTCTGACCATAGAGAACTGCACCAGGTATGAGGCAGGCAAATACACCCTGTCCCTGGAGAACAACAGTGGGCGCAAATCCATCACATTCACTGTTAAAGTACTGGATACTCCTGGACCTCCAGGAGCCATAACCTTCAAAGATATTACTCGCGGAGCCTTGACAGTGATGTGGGACGCTCCTGCCAATGACGGTGGAGCCCGAATCCACCACTACATTGTGGATAAGCGTGAAGCAAGCCGCCTTGCCTGGCAAGAAGTCAGCACCAAGTGCTCACGGCAGATGATCAGAGTAACTGGTCTGGAAATTGGTGTACCGTATTTGTTCAGAGTGATTGCCGTTAATTATTATGGCCAGGGAGAACCAAAAGAGATGACTGAGCCTATAATTGCCACAGAAGAACCTGCGCCACCCAAGAGATTGGATGTTGTTGACACAACCAATTCCACAGCCTCACTGGTATGGCTAAAACCCGAGCATGATGGAGGCAGCCGCGTTAGAGGCTATATTGTTGAATTGAGGGCTAAGGGCACTGACCACTGGGTTGTTAGTGGAGAGACTAAGTCTCAGAAGATGTTGGTAGAGGGTTTGATTGAGAACACAGAATATGACTTTAGAGTCAAAGCCAAGAATGATGCTGGAATTAGCGAACCTCAGGGCACCTTTAGCTCTGTGGTCATAAAGGAGCCTTGCATAGAACCAACTGCTGATCTCAGCAGCATCACCAACCAGCTCATCACTTGCAAGACTTCCAACACCTTCACAATTGATGTCCCTATCAGTGGCAGACCTGCACCTAAAGTTACCTGGAAACTGGAAGAGATGAAGCTGAAGGAGACTGACAGAGTCTCCATTAAGACCTCAAAGGAAAGTACCATTTTGGTAGTGAAAGACAGCAAGAGAAGCGACAGCGGCAAGTACTACCTGACACTGGAGAATGCTGCTGGTGTGAAGACATTCACAGTGACTGTGGTCATAGTTGGCAGACCAAGTCCACCCACAGGACCAGTGGAAATTTCTGGAATCTCTTCAGAGTCCTGTACCCTATCTTGGTCTGAGCCAGCTGATGATGGTGGTACTGACATCAGCAACTACATTGTAGAAAAACGGGAATCTGGCTCTGCTTCTTGGCAAGTGGTGAACTCCAGTGTGAAGAGAACCACCATCAAAGTCACACATCTCACCAAATACATGGAGTACACATTTAGAGTCTGTGCTGAGAACAAGTTCGGAGTCAGCAAGTCCGTTGAGTCTGCCCCTGTTGTCATTGAGCATCCATTTGGTAGGTGCTGTCCAACAGTTTAAATACATGATCCTGAATTTATATGTGTGTGTGCCAACATTGGTTTTGTTGTTTTTTAATGCTTTGGATTTCTTCTAAACAAACCATATTCTCATCTCCACCTGATTTTCATAGTTCCACCAAGTCCTCCAACTCGCCCAGATGTGATATCTATATCTGCCAATGCCATTAGCATCAAATGGGATGTTCCATATGCTGATGGTGGCAGCAAGGTGACAGGCTACTGGATTGAGAAAAAGGAGAGGAACACGATCCTGTGGGTGAGGGAGAACAAGCTACCCTGCCTGGATTGCCAATACAAGGTCTCGAACCTGATTGAGGGGCTGGAGTATCAGTTCAGGGTGTATGCCATGAACCTTGCTGGGCTCAGCAAAGCCAGCGAAGCCTCCAGACCTGTAGTGGCACTCAATCCTGTTGGTAAGAAAATATTCACATTCATCCTAATTATGAAGATGTATTATGAAATGACAGATGGTCAAACCTCAATTTCGCTTAACCCTTTAAAGCCGGTCAGAGTGGGCACGCTCTGTTTTGC